AGCTCATCCCCCCTCTCCCCCTGCAGCAAAAGAACCGGTACAAGCAGACGAAGCGCTCGGCACTGATCCTCCAGGCGTACGCGCGGGGCTGGAAGGTGAGGGCTGGGCGTCTCGGGGCTGGCAGGTCTGCTGGTGTGGGCAGGAGGGTGGGGGGCACAGGGTGGGGAGGAACAGGGGCTCCTTGTGCCCCATGGTGGGACCGGGGGCTCTGTGTGTCCCATGGTGGGATCAGATCCATCCTCATCTCCTCTCCCCGTCTTCCATCCTTCTCTCCTGCCTCTCTCCTGCCTCTCCCTCTCGCTCCATATCTGTGTTGGTGTCTCTCCCTTGGGCCCCCTGGGCTCTCCCCCCCGCAGTCTCGCCGGCTCCTCCGGGAGCTGAAGTCCCAGAGACGACGCTGTGCGGCCGCCACGACCATCGCCGCTCACTGGAGAGGGTACCAGGTAACGGGGCCAGCCCTCCCGCTGCCTCTGTCCTGCTGTCCGGGCTGTCTGTCTGTCTGCCCACCCTGTCGGGCTGGAGCCACTGTCCTCTCCGCTGGGGCCAAATGGGGGCAGGGGGATGGGGGGGCAGGGGATGGGGGGCAGGGGGATGGGACACCCGTGTCCTTGGGGGGCTGGCAGTGGGATGGTGGCGATGTCCAGCCTCCCCACCCTCACTGGCTCCGTCCCCGCAGGCGCGCAGGACGTACAGGAGGTATTTCCGCACCAGCGCCAGCACCTTCCTGGCCAACTTCATCTACCGGCGCCTGGTGAGCGGGGCCGGGGGGAGAGGGGACCTTCCCAGCGCCCCACCCTGGGGCTGGACCCTGCGGTCCCCTCCTGACCCCCCTCTGCACTGTCACCCCCAGGTCTGCAGGTACCTGGTGGGGCTGGCAAAGAACCTCCCGCCGCTGTCGGTGCTGGACCGGACCTGGCCCCCGGCGCCGTACAAGTTCCTGGGTGATGCCCACCAGGAGCTGAAGAGCATCTTCTACCGCTGGAAGGTGGGAGCGGGGGGAGAGGGGGGGAGTGCCCGCTGGGATGTTGTGTCCCTCCGTGCCAGCCCACCCGAGGGGTGGCACTGAATCGCCCCCTCCCTCGGCAGTGCAAGAAGTACCGGGACCAGCTGCCGCCGTCGCGCCGGGCCCAGCTGCAGGCCAAGCTCTGCGCCAGCGAGCTCTTCAAGGACAAGAAGACCCTCTACTCCAAAAGGTGCCAGGGTTGGGGGCTGTGGGGAGGAGGGGGCTCAGGACAGCGGGGGCTGACGGGCTCATCCCCAGCGTGCAGCAGCCCTTCCGCAGCGATTACCTGGGGCTGAAGCAGAACCCCAAGTACCAGAAGCTCCACACCATGGCCAAGGACAAGGTGGTGATGGCCGACACCGTGAGGAAGGTGAACAGAGCCAGCGGCAAGGTGAGCCCCCCCCTCGCCCCTGTCCCCACTGGAGGGTGTACAGGACCACACTGACCCCCTGCCCGTGCTGACCCTGCCCGCAGACGGTCCCGCGCCTGCTGCTCCTCACAACCGAGCACCTGGTCCTGGCTGACCCCAAGACTGCCCAGCCCAAGACCGTGCTCGGCCTCGGTGACATCCGCAGTGTCTCCGTCACCCGCTTCTCCGACGGCTTCCTGGTCTTACACCTCAAGGAGGTACCCGGGGAGGGGGGTCCCTGGGGGCTCAGGGGTCCCCAGCAGGGCTGACCCCCCGCTCGCCCCACAGGTCTCCACGGTGGGGGCCAAGGGCGACTTCCTGCTGGTCAGTGACCACCTCATCGAGCTGGTCACCCGCCTGCACCAGACCCTGGAGGCCACCACGGGGCAGGCACTGACCCTGCACATCACGGACAAGTACGGGTGGGGCTGGAGTGGGTGTGGTTGTCATGGGTGGGGCCTGAAGGGCAGGGCTACGAGGGGCTGCTGTGGACAGGACTAATGTGGATGGGGCAGGGCTGTAGTGAGAGGGGCCCAGAGGGTGGGGCTGGTGTGGGTGTGGCTACTGCAGGCGTGGCTGGGCATGGTTGTCTGCACCAGGCAGCCCCTGAGAGGTGGGTGTCACCAGGGCAGCAAACTGGGCACTGCGGGGCCCGGCGTGTCCCCACCCCACCTCTCCATCCCGCCCCTCCCCTCCATCCTGCCCCTCTTTCCAGGTTCTCCACCCGCTTCCCGAAGGGTGACATGTCTGTCACCGTGGTGGAGTCACCCAAGGCCGGCCCCGACGGCCCCATCTGCAAGAAGAAGGGCAGCCACAAGATGGAGGTCCTGGTGCACTGAGGGGACTCCCACCCTTCACAGGGACGCCCACCCATGCACCGGCACCCCCGACCCCCTTGTGTCATCCCCCTGCCCCCCCGGGTGCTGGCAGTGCCCAGGAATCGCTCCAGACCCATTAAAAGGATGCTGAGGTGTCGGTACGGGGGTGGTGTCACAGTGGGTGACCCCATTCCAGGTAGGGTGGGGGGATCCCATCGTGCCAGAGCCCCAGGACACGGTGCCACGATGCTGGAGCTGGGGGACAGAGCCCAGCACAGCCTTTCCTGCTGCCTGATTGCGGCCGGCGCTCGGCTCCTGGCGATTGGAAAGGCCCCAAATTGCGGCCACTTTTCCCATTAAGTGGCTCCCGGCTCGTGCTGCTGCAGAGGCAATTTCTGGGCAGCCGTGGGCGGCTGCACGTGAGGTCCCTGGCACCCTCTCCCTGTGCTGGCCAGCCACGTCCCCCCCTGCCCAGGGTCCCCTACCCCACTGCAGGACCCCCCGTGCAGGTTGCTCCCGACACAGGCTGGCACTGGAGCTGCATTTGGGAACCGGTTGCATGGACAGGGGACAGAGGGGAGTCACCACACAGCCCCAGTGACACCACTGCAGCCCCCAGGGACCTGTGGGACCCCCGCCAGTCCTGCAGCCCCCTGGAGCCCACAGCTCCCGTGCCAGCATGTCCTCCCCTTGCCTTTTCTCTCCTGCACTGATCAAGCTCTCGGAGAGGGTTTTTTTCCTGTCCCCACACATCACCCGCGTTACCTTCGGGAGCTGCCAACTCCCCGTCACGTCACCATCAGCACCAGCTCCCAGGTGGGCCCTGGAACAGGGTTTGTCGTGCAGGGGGAGCGTGTGCGGGCAGCTCCTGCACGCGGGGGGACACGTGTGCGTGCGTGGGGGCCCCCGACGGCCCGGCCGTGCCCCGGTGCCGAGGGCTCCCCCCTTCCCCCTCGGGCTCCGTCACGTCCCCGCGCAGGGACCTTCCCTCGGCGAGGGGCGAGAGCCGTAAACAAGCCCGGGGCACCGCGGCTCTTCACGGCTGCCTCGCACTTGGCATCGCACAAGTAGGTGTTATTAATTAATTAGTCCATCTCTGGCCAGGCTCCGATTTAATTAACGTTCCCGGCACTGCAGATGCTGCCCTGCCCCGGGCTGTGCTGCCACGTGAGCCGCCGCTGCCTTCCCGGGGGGCTGCCGCAGCCACCGGAGCAGCCGCAGCCACCTGTTGCTCGGGATGAAGTCGGTGGCTCTCACTTGTTGGCCCGGTTGTTCCCCCTTTCGTCGCACCCCTCCGCTTCCCCCCAGAATTTCCCTCCCAGTCTTCCACCTTGGCACATCCTGGCATGGGAATGGGCAGGCCGGGAGCACCAGAGTGGGGCTGGGGGTGACGGGCAGGGTGCGAGGGGTGTGTGTGTGTGTGGGCACGTGTGTTTTTGTGTGTGTGTGGGCACACGTGTGTATGTGTGCGCAGATGAACACGTGTGTGCATCCTGTGTGCGTGGCGGGAGCGCTGCTGATCCCCCCCAAACCCCGGCTGCAGAGTCCGGCATCCAGCCAGGACCATCCCACCGTCTGTGTTCCCAACAGACACGTCGTGACGGGGGGCACGTCCCCGTAACGAGGGGCCGGGGGCTGCGTGGGCACAGTGCCCCTGTGCTGACCCCCCAGCCCGGGCGCCGCGGGGGGCCGGTGTGGCTGCGTGGGCACACGCGTGTCGCAGCGTGACTCCGCATGTGCGACGGGTGCTGTCGGTGTCACGGTGCCTGCGTGGGCGTGAAGCTGCAGGGTGGGGGTACCACCCCCCCCGGCCCCCATTGGCAGCTCTCCTCTCACCCACCCCCGCCGTGCCATGGGCAGAGCCCCTTATTTAGCGCCGTGCAGCAGCTGGTGCCACCGTACTTCGCCTCCCGGCTGAGCCCATGCTGGGGGAGCCACTGCAGCTGCCCACCACCACCACTGTCACCGCCACCACCGCTGCCCACCGCTCCTCGAGGCGTCCCTGCTCTGCAGCCACCGGTGACGAGGGTCCCTCAGCCCCTGGCCCCGCACCAGGCAGCACCGGAGGGCTCGGCAGGTCTGTGTCTCCGTGGCCTGCAAGCCCCGGGGCTTTCCCAGGGTCCGTGGGGGCTGCTGAGCCCTGTCCCTGTCCCGCTGGGGCTGAGGGAAGGCAGAGGGAAGAGGGGGAGGTTCGGGATGGCACTCGGGAGGGCACGGGAGGGAGGAGAGAGGGGGTGAAGGTGTTCCTTGAATTCGGGGAGGGTTTGGGGGGGCTCTGGAAGCAAGTCTGGCTGTGGGCAAGCATGTGTGTGCCAGGGGACACCTGTGTGCTGGCACGGGTGAACGTGCAGGACAGAGCCCGAGCCGTGCCCGTGCCCGCTGTGCCCACGTTCGTGCGTGTTTGCACAGTCTGAACTATGTGTGACAGCACAAACGCGGCACCACGGGCATGAGCAGGGACACGGGAACCCCGGGGCCACAGCAGGGCCGTGTCCCCCTGCACACCCCGTAACAGCCCCCCCCCACCCCTGTAAGGCACCCGCGGGTGCAGCCCCGTCCCCGGGACACCGGCACGCTCCCTCCCTCGTTGACCCGAGTGGGGGTCCCGTCGCCCCCCGTCCCCCCGTCTCCCGTCTCGCTGCTTTCCCTCCCCAGAGCCCGGTCCGGTCCCGGGCTCGTCCCGGGCCGCCCCGTCGAGGGGGCACCGGCTCGGGGCGGCCCCGGGCCCCGCCGCTCGGCCGCTGACCGCGCCCCCAGACCCCCGCCGAGGATGAGGAGCCGCCCGGTGCTGGCGGTGCTGCTCGTCCTGGCGCTGCCGCTCGCCCTCGCCCGCCGCCCCCCCGCCGCCGCCCCGCAGGAGCCCGCGCCCCCCGCCCAGGTACGGCCGTCGTGAGGGGGCGCGGCGGGCGGAGCCCGGACTCCCGGGAGCCCCTCGATCCCTTCCCACCGCGCTCACCCTCTTCGCTCCCGCAGGGGATGCTCGTCCCGGAGCCGCTGCGCTGGAGCGCCCGGGGCAGCCCCGGGGCCGCCGCCGCTGCCGCCGCCGCGCTGGAGCTGCTGCGGGAGCAGGGCGCCGGTGAGGGGCTGGGGGGGCTCGGGCTGGGGGGCTCTCGGTCCGCCCGGACCCCTCTCACCCGCTTCGGTCTCTTCCAGGTCCCCCCGCGGCGCAGCAGAAGCGTAAGTCCCGCCCGGTGCCGGTGACGGTGCCGGTGCCGCCGCCGGGGCCGGGGCCGCTGACGGCCGGTCTCTCCGCAGGGGACATGCACGATTTCTTCGTGGGGCTCATGGGGAAGCGGGCGGCGGAGCCCGGGCGAGCGGCGGGGCGGGGGGAGGGCGGCCCGGCCCCCCGCTGCTCTCCGGGGACCCCCGCGCCCGGCCAGGCCCCGCTGCGAGCCCTTTGAGCCACGGGACGAGCCCCCCACGCCCGGGGGCCGCGGGACCGGCAGCGGGGGCGTCCCGGGCGCCGCCGCCCGCGGAGCCGTCGTGGGACCCCGCCGGGAGCGCGGCCGTCCCGCCCCGCGCGCGTGTCCGCGCGCCCACCGCCGCGCGTGTCCGCGCACCCGTGTACACCCGCATCGCCCCGCTAAACACCCACCCGTGACTGCGCGGGACACGCGCAAACACCGTCTCTGTGTCTTGGCTGCGCCGCCGGCACCCGGCTGGGGCAGCCCACGGGGATGGGGCTGCGGGGACGGATCCACGGGGATGGGGCTGCGGGGACGGATCCACGGGGATGGGGCTGCGGGGACGGATCCACGGAGATGGGGCTGCGGGGACGGATCCACGGGGATGGGGCTGCAGGGACGGATCCACGGGGATGGGGCTGCGGGAAAGAGCCCACGGGGATGGGGCTGCGGGGACGGATCCACGGAGATGGGGCTGCGGGGACGGATCCACGGGGATGGGGCTGCGGGGACGGATCCACGGGGATGGGGCTGCGGGAAAGAGCCCACGGGGATGGGGCT